GGAGCGATATCAGTGGCACGTCTTTTGGCGGGTTTATCAAAACACTGCAACCTTTTGAAACACAACTCATTTGAAAAAAAATCTGGGATGATAATAAAGAAAACGAAAGTAGACTAGAGCGAACAGGACATGCTAGCTAGCATAGAGATCAGTGAATGTCCTTCAATTCGGTCCCAGAATTAGATGCTCACAGCAATGGTATAATGGGTGACTGGCATTCGGAAAAAGGTAAGTAGGCCTACATGTATAATCATTTCAGTATTGACTTGTGAAATAAACCAAAGGGAAAATTATGTGAACCATTCTTCGTGGCTCGTGCACTCACTCTCGGACGTCTGTCTCCTCAGTCCGTTGTTAGTGGCGGAGTGGAATAGAAATCTTTATAAATTATAACATCTTTTGTTTTTAAGACTAAGAATAATCCTTTGCAGCAGAGATGCCAGTTTTTGCCTAATATACCAACACTCTTATGACTGAATCCATTTACTAATTGTACTCATTCCTCTCACTTTAGGTAGGTGACTAACTAGACTCATATTTAGTTCAGCGAGATAGAAACAACTGAGGGGAAAAGAGAAAGTTGTAGGAGCTGCAAAAGGCTTCTAATCACGTTCCAAGATTGATGGAAGTGTCAAATCAACAGGAAACAAATAAAATTGAATAGTCTAGATGTAGATTCTAGTGATCTGGGCAATAGTTTAGGCCTTCTATCATAAATAATTGTGACCATATTTCCACCTTGCTGAATTAACCATACATGATACATACATGAAAATAACCAGTTACCCGTAGGTTTACTCTAAAACCATATCATGAACTAATATGGCAGCCCCATAACTTCAGCCTCAGCAGAATTATTCATCATTGGTGGCCCCCGCAAATTGTGGCTGTTTTTTTTTTCTTTTAAATCCTTTCGATTTATTTGTTTTTTGTGCTCCTTTAATAATTTTCTAACATTCTGGTTCCATATGTGTACTGTTTTTTATTATGGAGAAAGTACAAAATGGGGAAGATCGGTGTACTTTTTCTTCTCTGTCAGCTCAGTGAAACTGCAAACTTATTCTGCTTTTAATGAGCCAAAATAGTGTCTGTTTTTAATTTATGCTTATGATATGGTACGTCAGTTATTAAAAATATTGTTTTATTGAATTTTATAGTTTTATTGTCTTTTTATTTCAGGCAATAAAAGAAAAAGAGATGACTGTGAGGAGTCTTGTCTGTCTCTCAAGTCTGAGAGTAATTTGCAGAACGGTCATCACATCATAGGCAAAACCGTTCCAGCACCGTCGTCATCAAACAAGAGACAAGCACAAGAGGGGTTTTCTTGGTGGACTTGTTTACAACTTGGTCTTCCTTTGACACAATCTAAGCCTCAACCTCTCAAACCTGATCAGGGATGACTAAGCTGTTTACTGACTGTGAAGTGAAACTACAAATACTTATATAATATATAAATTTATGTGAATGAGTCTATAAGATTTTTATCATCTGTTGTTTAAATGGATATTCTTGTTAAAAAAAAACAACCCTATTTACTGAAAGGACTTTCTAACCATACGGTACAGGAGTTTTGAAAAATTTCTTTTTGTGCTTTCTTTTGCTGTGATCTTATTTTATCGGAAAGTTTGTGTGGAACTTGTCTTTATAATGTTTGAGAAGACTTTTAAAGGGATATGACTAGCACAACAGAGGATTTTGACACAGACTCTGAAGCGGTGATGCTCCCTGAACCTCCCGAACGACCTTTGGACTCTGACTGCTGTGGGAATGGTTGCGTGCCTTGTGTGTTTGACATCTATGAAGAGGAAGTTGCTCTCTGGGAAGCTGAGTGCAAAAGATTGAGAACTGGCGGAAAAATATATGTTGAGAATAAGGAGGAACCACAGGTTGGTTGCTTTGTAGATTGATGAAAAGTATGGTCAAGTTTTTATGTTGTCAATGTATCATTTATAAAGAGGTGAGGGAGGGGAGTGGGGATATAGACATACTTCCCTCTCACCTTGGGTTCTTAAAAAACTTTAGGATAGTCACCCACTTTGTTGTAAATGTAATTTATAAACTTGTAAGACATATATGTGTATACAAAGCAGCAGCCTGTTCTTTTTGCTTTGTATAATCTGATATATATGATATGATTCGTTTTTTACATTACATTTTACAATTATAAGGTATCACTAGCATTTTGTCATTGAGAGTGGGAGAATTTGTATGATTTTCTGTTCATGATATTGTAAAAGTTCTTTCACTGTATTCTTTATGCTCTGTGTGTATCCTCTGTGTTCTAATATCTGGTATCTCAGTGTAAAACATTTAAATAGAAAAGAATCCTTCTGCTTACCGTTTGTATTGGATTAATACTGCACTCCTTGAAATACTGTAGTTCTTTTTTAGTATACTACATGTGGCTGTCTGCATAATGAGAAATACAATGAGTGTCAGTTTCATGGTGGCTTGAATAATACTAACAATGTCATTGATTATGCTTCAAAGGTTTCAGCCTTGCAACAGAAATTCCTTTATTGGAAAATGTTCTGTTTGTATATTGACATCGTTTTTCTATTATGACACAATGTAGATGTTTCACAATAACAACTTCTTCCTCTCAGCCTCAATCTAGAAAGTGCCATTGTAACAAGGAACTTAAACAAGACTTCAGTTTTCTGCTAAATGAAAACGGACTGAAGGACCAGAGCCCAAGACTGTGGAATTAAGGAATTTATAATGGCAATGACTGAAAGATAGCATTGTTATAATGATGCTAGATTTTGACATTTGAGGAGGCTTCTCACTCAAGCGAAAAAGTGCAATCCCTGTGCTGCATGTGTATCATTGGAAAGATGAAAATTTGTCTGGGGTTTGTTTTGTTTTCTTGTTATACAGGCATCACCACTCATGCCGGACCAGTACAATCATTATGGTATTGAGAGTATCTCTCAAGAGACATGTGATGCTGTCAGGATAAGATGTACCCTGTCACCTCAACAAAAACTTGGTTTGAGCATGGGTCAGCACATTATTATCAGGTAAAGGTCACAGTAGTAACTATTTTTGTGTGGGTGGTTGATGGGTGCTCTGGTATGGTTTGCTTCTTCTTTCCTGTCAAATATATGTCGTCCTTATAGAGATCTCCCCTCCTTCTTTTTTATGTTTGTTACTCTCTTGTAACACCTCTGATCTTCTGGCACTCATATGACCTTATGCAGTTGCGAGCGCCATAAAACCTCTACTAAAACAAAACAAAAACTATTTTTGTACGGTCATGGCAGTTTTCTTGTTTTTGGCTTGTTGGAATATAATGACCTGCTTGGCCACCTTTGGAGGGGGCTGTGCCTCTTGCTCCTGTTCTTTTGCTGTGAGTCTATTGTATACTCACCCTTAAGACGACTGATTCTTTTTTAATGAGGTCCCCAAGTATACCCCCCATAATATATGCCGTGCGCAATATACAGCCAAGATCGGGCCCAGCAATGGAGAAGTAATGTCAAATAGGATTTTTCATTGAACAATTACTGATATTTTGCACTTTTGACTGCTTTTGGGTAGTTTTCCCTTTACTACAACTACCAGCTTTTCAAGTTTTGTAAGTCAGTCTAAAGAGGAAGAGAGAAGGGCACAAGGCCGGCTTTAAGCCAGTGTATACTTGATTTTATCCATGTTGAGCCTACTCCAACATGGCAGAAATTCACCACCTATTTAATGCGCGACCAACAGAAAAAAGCAGTTTTTTTAGTCAAAGTATATCCCGTATTATAAGGTTGTGTTATAGGCGAATATATGGCAATTTTGGCCTCTGAGGGAAGGGGTGAGTGAGATAACTGCTTATACTTATATATTTTCTTTTATTTTTTTTCATATGACGTACTGTGTTAAATCACATTAAGTGCATTGATGTAAAATGGTTCAAATGGTCAAAGAGAGACAGTTTTTGGCGGGGTGACCACTGTACTTTGATTTTATCTTTGAGCAAGATGTCTTAACACCTCTAGGATATATTGTATTTTGATGTTAGGATTTGGCCTTGTGATGTCCTACCTCTAGTAAATATAAATGTTGCTCTTCCCTTTGGGTGAGTGGCATCGGTGGCCTAGTGGTTAGGTTGCCAGACCTGTAATCGTCAGATTGCAGGTTCAGGGGTCCGAGCGTCAGCTCAGTAAGGTTGTTGTGTCTTTGGAGAAACACTTTACATGAATTTCCCATTTTGTTCGGTCCTTTCGGAGAAGGACATTTGACTCAGAGGTCTCGCCTCTTAAATAATCTAATAGTTTTGATAGGGGCATTAAAACTTTAGATAGATACATGTACCATTTTCACCTTTTGGTGAGAAATCATGGTTGTCTGCTACTCTTTACTATTTATTAATTAATATTTATAATAAAATAATAATAGCATTTGTATAGCGCATATCCCGGCTCGACAGCAAGCTCTATGTGCTTTACACACTAGCAATACATAACACCTGTTGACTGGTGCTGGGGAAGATGGGGAGTGTGCCCTCCTCTCATCATTGTCAATATTTCTCACTCCATGCTGGCATAGGCCACCAACAAGAGCTCTCCTTATATTTATGTCCTGTGCTGTTGTCCCATTTCTGTCCCATCTCTTTTGCTTTTTTGATAGTTTATAGTTTTCTTACTATGTGCAGATGTCAAAAGCCTGATGGACCTATGATCACAAGACAGTACACACCAATCTCTCCCGTTGACACAAAAGGATTTTTTGAGCTAGCCATCAAGGTGAGAAATAAAACTGACTTTAATCAGGCTTGGTACTTCGGAGAAAATATAATATGGACTGTGCTTTGTGGACTTTGTGGCTTATACTATAGGAGTCTTTGTAAATTTTTGTATGTTTTGTGTGGTACAATTGTTCAAAAATTCTTGAAAAAGTTGTATGAGGACAAATTCTCATTTCAAAATTGACAGAACTTTCAACTGCATCTCATGAAAACTCTTTGTGGGCTTGTGTATCAAATAAAATGTTTATGCCCCTAGCAACCATATCTGTTATCTATGGCAAAAACTATTGAACAAATCGTTTCATTGACTGTCATTGTATGAGGGAATTTGGCTAAAAATAACTGTTTTTGTGAGAATAGTTTCCTTCAAATGCCACTACTGTAATGCTTTTTCTCCAAGATTTGATTCCAGCCAATATGCAGTTACGTCACTCTGCCTTTTGAGAGCAAAACAGTTCCCACCTGTGTCACACCAAGGCCAAAGGTCAATCAAAGTGTATCAAGGCCGAAGGTCAATCAAAGTGTGTTAAAAAAGAATTTTGTCATTTTTACAGATTTACACAGAAGGTCAAATGTCTCAGCTTGTGAAAAACTGGAAGGTTGGGGAAAGGCTGGAGGCAAGAGGACCTATTGGACACTTGTCATATTCTCGGAACAAAGTAAGCTATGTTTTCTTTTCCATACTGAGTAGGCTACTTCTTTACTTTCTTGCTGTTTTTGTCCTCAAATACCTTGAGGTGTCAAGGGGAGATGCAATTGTTGGACATGGGCCAGGTGTGTTGCTGTTTGGATGGTCATGTTGTCCGTTTTCGTACAGAGTAAAGAAAGTTTTCAGGCTTATGGAAGAAACATCCTGATTTTGGAGAGAAAAAAATGGTTTCATAATAATCATAGACCATAATCACAGAATGAAGAGAGTTTGAATTTTGATAGTTGAGGGCACTTTCCAAATCTACCATCTCAAACCTCTCAGTGTTTTGGATAGTATTCTTATTTAAACTATTTGTACTGACTAGAGTTTCTTCACTTTTGTGTAGTGGTTGTTTAAAATTTTTTCAGGTTGGCAGTGAGAACAGGCCAGCATTTTTAATTAGATTTTTCAACTGTGAATGTGTCATGTTAATACTCGCAGCTTGTACATTGTCCCTTTGAAATTTTATTAAACTCTTGTCACTCAGAGAGAATTTTCCTTGACAGTGGGTGTTTGGCGGGGGCTGTGCTGTGATTTGCTTGCTCCTTCTTTCCTATCAAACGTCTATCGTTTTTACCTCTCTCTTTTTTGTGTTTGTTACTCTCTTGATACACTTCTACTAATCTTCTGCACTTATATGACCGAAGTGTGTTGCAAGTGTTGTAAACTCAGACAAACAAAAACAAAACTTCCTTGCCTTTGTGTTGGGGATGTGGAAACACCTAAGTGAAGTTACCCTACATTGCTGGCTTACTATGCGCACATAAACCAGTAATCAGTCTTGGAGACAAGCAGCCTACAGCATCATCATGTATCCTTTCAGTATAACCTGTTTAGGTGATGTCTGCTCCTTCTATTATTTTTAGTGTTACCAGTGTATTTTTTTGCTTTGTGGCAAAATGTGGTTATCTGGCAGACTTTCAATAGATAGTCTTTTAGTATATTTGTAATGAAGGTGTTGAAGGGGGACCACCTGTATTTGGTCAGCCCTACTTCTTTATTCTCCTTCTGTAATTTCTGCCTTGCTCATTCCCAGCTCTGAATGGTCGTTTACTCATGTGCTTCTCCGTCCTCAAAAAACTCCAACTCAGTGTTTGTACTAGTGGTGGGCGGTACCGGCGAAATCCAGTGTCGGTACTTTCTCGATTAAACTTTGCAAGCAGAATTTTAAAAATAGTTACGGCCGCTAAAAAATGATTTCATTTTCAGAATCAGCGTATCAAAATAAGCAAAGTGGCTCACGTGGAACCTGATTTGAAGCCATATTATAAATTTAAGCAAACTTCGTTTTTGATTGTCAATTTTGAATCTGAAGTCCTGTATAAAGGTCACTCGCTGCGTTGTGTGCATCTGACATCACAGCTGCTAGGCCCAGGCCTACACACTGCACACTTCCCGTGGCCCGTTAAGAAAAAATCCCCTCTCGTAGGCTCCTTCTCAGAGCCAGTATTAACCGTTGGTGTCGGCTCCTTCCCGGAGCCGGTACTGGAGGCCAGATGTCGGTACTGACACCTCCTTCGGTAGAACCGGGAGTTCCGGTACTGGGTACCGGTACCTGCCCATCCCTAGTTTGTACGACTCAACTGATCTCCTCTTTCACCATAAGATTGTTAGAAAAAAAAACACGTCCTTATTACCATGCTCTATTTCTTTATCCTCAGTTTAGTCGGATCCTCATGCTGTGTGCCGGAACAGGAGTAGCCCCCATGTGTCAGGTGATCAGCTCTGTGCTCTCGGACGAATTGGAAGACACCTACCTCAGACTGGTATACGCATGCCGCTCGTATAAACAACTCCTTGCGAAGATGGAAATTGACGAGTGGCGAAGGTTCTGGAATTTCTCTACCATCTTTGTATTGAGTCAGGTTGGTAACGCTAAATATTTTTGCAAGCCCCCATTGACACCATTTTTGATCACCTAGGAGGCAGGCTTTCGACATTGTCTGTCATGGCCAACTCGGGCTGAGAGGAATACAATATCCAAACAGAAAGACCAAAATGCTCATCAACAAATTTATTCTCTCTCAGGAATCGAACTCGTGTGTCCTGCGTATGAAAAGGAAGTGCTGAACCATCACACCTGATGCCAGTTCGTCCTTACCTTGTGTTTCGATTTTGTTTGTGATGGGGATGGGGTAGTGGATGAATCATGGTTCTCCAGCTCTTTTTGCTTCTGGCTTTTTTTTACTCTCTTCCAGGATTTTCATTGTGCAGTCTTACCTCACCCCACCTGTCTGTAATTCATTTCACCTGTGGCAGCCCTTCAGATCTCCTCCCCAACATATTTGTCTCTCATTTGGACCATGTATTAGTATTACTACATTACTACTTAGTAGTCATACAATTCTTTTCTTATCACCTGTTTACTATTATTTGCTGCTTTGCCTTTCTTCTGTATTCCATAGTATTATTTAAAAGG